CTCTACCCCCCCATACACATACACTCTACACACATACACTATCCCCATACACACACACTGTATGGACTCAGCAGTCTGTGTGTATAGACTCAGCAGTCTGTGTGTATGGACTCAGCAGTCTGTGTGTATGGACTAAGCAGTCTGTGTGTATGGACTAAGCAGTCTGTGTGTGTGTGTATGATCTCAGCAGAGTCTGTGTGTGTGTGTATGGACTCAGCAGAGTCTGTGTGTGTGTATGGACTCAGCAGTGTGTGTGTGTGTGTGTGTGTGTGTGTATGGACTCAGCAGTATGTGTGTGTATGGACTCAGCAATCTGTGTGTGTGTGTGTGTGTATGGACTCAGCAGAGTGTGTGCGTGTGTATGGACTCAGAGTCTCTGTGTGTGTGTATGGACTCAGCAGAGTCTGTGTGTGTGTATGGACTCAGCAGTCTGTGTGTGTGTATGGACTCAGCAGTCTGTGTGTGTGTGTGTGTGTGTGTATGGACTCCGCAGTCTATCAATAATTAAAATTCCTGTGAGTTGTTGTGTAGGAAGGGCCCCAGTGCATTGCTTTGCCCAGGGGCCCTTAACTCTGTTAAAATGTTACTGCTTGTGTGTGTCAGTGAGCTTCTTTTTAGTGAGCATGTGTGTGTCAGTGAGCTTGTCTTTAGTGAGCTTGTGTGTGTGTCCCTGAACTTCTTTGTAGTGAGCCTTCTGTTTATACAAGTGAGTGTCTGTAGTAAGCTTGTGTGTGAGTCAGAGAGTTTTGTCTGTCAGTAAGCCTATTTGCGCATGTCGGTGAGATTGTGTGCTTACTGTACTATATATATATTTTGACTTGTAGGAATGGCATACGTTTTTTTTCCAGGGCTGCTTTGGATTCCCAGGGATTCCCAGTTTGGCTCTGCCAGCGAGTGCACTTTACCGCTGAATAATCTGTGTGAGCTGCCGCACACTTTAGCCCTGTTACACGCGTCTGGGAGCTGCTGTTGACAGGTACTAGTAGTCTAGAGATTGGGGTATATGCTCAGTTATCTGTATAATACAGATCTGTGTGTATAAAATATCCTGGGATAGTCAGTGCTTCCTGTATAGTGCTGCTCTCTGTCTTGGGATACTATACACAAACAGACCTGTATTATACAGAGAGCAGCACTATACAGGGAGCACTGAGTGTCCCAATTTATTATACACACAACCCTGTATTATACAGAGAGCACTGACTGTCGAGGGATATTATACCCAGACAGTAATTGATAGCTGTGCTGCAAAATGTCCTTGGAAATTTTTTTTCAAATGTTGGCAACTATGGCACTGTATCAAGGATAATGTGTTTGGTTTTTTAATAATCCCTGGTGGAAAATAATGAATCCTCCACCAGGTATTATTAAAAAAACAAAACACATTGTGTCGGGGGCGTGGCTTAACATGCGACAGGGGCGGGGTCAAACTGCGACAAGGGCGGGGTTAAATGTGCCCCCCTACTTTTGTCACTGGCCCTCCATGTGCCCCCCCGAAAAATGAATCCTATAGACGCCACTGCACAGCACCCCCAGACACAGCACCCCCCAGACACACACAGCACCCCCAGACACATCACCCCTCAGATACACACAGCACAGTAAAAAAAATATATTTACATTTAAATGAAAAATACATTCACTCACACACACACACAGCAGACCCAGACACACACAGCACCCCCAGACACACACAGCACCCCAGACACACACAGCACCCCCAGACACAGCCCCCAGACACACACAGCACCCCAGACACAGCACCCCAGACAGCACCTCAGACACACAGAGACACACACAGCACCCCCAGACACAGCCCCCAGACACACACAGCACCCCAGACACAGCCCCCAGACACAGCACCCCCAGACACACACAGCACCCCCAGACACAGTCCCCAGACACAGCCCCCAGACACACACAGCACCCCCAGACACAGCACCCCTCAGACACACACAGCACCCCCAGACACAGCCCCCCAGACACACACAGCGCCCCCAGGCACAGCACAGCCCAGACACACACAGCACCCCCAGACACAGCACCCCCAGACACACACAGCACCCCCAGGCACAGCACCCCCCCAGACACACACAGCACCCAGACACACACACAGCACCCAGACACACACAGCACACCCAGACACACACTGCACCCAGACACACACAGCGCACCCAGACACACACTGCACCCAGACACACACAGCACCCCCAGACACACACAGCACCCCCTAGACACAGCACCCAGACACACACAGCACACTCCCACACATATACAGCACACACACATATATATATATATATATATATATGTATATATATATATATATATATAAAATAACCCTCAGTGAGTTAACAGACAAAGAAAATTAGAAACCTAGAATGTGACAGCAGATAAAAACACCCTCACACACAGCACCCCTCTTACATACACACACTGCGCCCCTCACACATACAATAAGTCCAAATATATATATACATATACACACACACACACACACACACTACAGCACCCCTCACACTGCACCACTACACACATTACGCTCCAGATACACACTAGATCCCTTACTCTATATGCACTCTTTATCCTCTATACACACACACACTGGGTCCTTTACACAGTAGATCTCCTACACACACACACTACATTCCTTGTCAGCAAACACATACAACATTCTCTAAACACACCCTCTCTGCAACCCCTACACACACTACGTCACCTATACACACACACTTCAGCCCGTATGCACACACTCGCTGCATCCCCTATAAAACTATGCCCCCTATACACACACTCTCTACAGCCCCTAGCCACACATATAACACCACAAACACAAATTAAATTGACCTATTTACACAATACCACACCACACTCTACACACACACAATCCCACAAGCAGGCTCCAAACATATGCACCATGCACTTTCCTGGCCCATTTGTCCTCTGGTATCCCACTTGTGGAGACACCAGAGACAATTTAAAAGCAAACACAGCGCAAGCATGTTATTAAATTTGCTTGCGCTGCGCAGAACAAATTCAGGGCCTTTTTCTAATGCCAGAGCTCTTCAGCAGGGCTCTGGGCATTGAACCAACATGCTCACTTTGAGAGGGGGCGTGCTTGTCATTAGTGATGACAAAACACACACTCTCTGGCCCCGCCCCCTTCTTAGGGGGCCGCTCTGATTGAAAAATGCCCGGGCCTAATTTTTTTCTCAGTCCGGCCCTGCTCCACAACGATTTGAAAGACTGATAAAGTTATACAGAAAACGATTACTTCACGTTATTGTTGTTAAACGTGGTTCTACAAACTGTTGAATCATAGGGGGGACTTAGTATTTCAACAATGGTTCTCCATTTTGGCTTTATTTTTGTTAAATAAATCACGAGACTGTGTAAAATGTCATGTGTTGTTTGTTTGTTTGAGGTTGTATCTACCTCATTTTAAGACCTACTAAGGAAGGGATGATTGTTATTATATCCTGATATGTAAAACCATAGAATTCAAAGAGGGTGTGCTTTCTGTTTCCAATGATTGTATATTTAACAACAAAAACTAAGACAGTTGAAAAGTAGACAGTTAGACATATGCTTTTCAACTGTATCACTTTTTGTATTTATTTTAATCTGTTTTCCTTTTTTTAGCATTGCATACTGAACAAAATTCTGATATACACGTCGCTCTGATGTGTTTCTACAGATAGACACAGAAAGGTTTTGTCTTGTTTTCGGATTTAAAAATAGCTCTGCAAACATTTAAATCTACAGGTCATTTCTGCCCAATAAACATAATTTAGTTCCAAGCTCATCCTTCTCCTTTCTAACTACAAATACTTGTTTTTTTTAGTCAATAAATATTAAATTGGGAACTGCAATCTTTGAAATCACCCATATAATAGAAGAATGATGGTTCCCATCACTAAACCTGAATTATCCTAGAATTCTACAGCCGTCACTGAAAGTGACACCTTTGTAAAGCAAGCTGTTATCACAAGCTGTCCATGCCAAACACATGGGCCACCGATGAGAGGATTGTGTCTCAATATTTGTAGTGGATTTCATTTTGCTTTCGAAGGGTTCCAGACCTTAAGGCCCCTGACAGCCCAAGAACTAACACTTTTGCCAGATTCTGCCTCAGAATTCATGAAATAAGATTTAGGTTTGTTTTACACAAGGCATGTGTTGGATTCAAATTTTCTTTTTCTATCAAAGCCAAAAATGAACTGATGTTCTGTGTGGAGTTAAATCCACATCCTAAGCTAGTGATAGGTGACTGACAGGTCGTTAGTCCTTAAAATCTACAACATGTGGATTACAACTGATGTCTCTTATACCAAAAAATCTTCTTTTGGTAAAACAATGTAAATTTGTGTTTAGTTTTTTTTCTAACCAAGAGCTTTATTTTGCACAGACCCAAAACTACTGCCCCCTCCTGGTGGCTGTGATTTTATGACCAATGTTCTGTCCTAGAAAGGGAGGCATAACAAAAAAGCTATAGATACACTGTAAAGATATATAATATTTGATCCGAAATATGAGTGGATTGGCGCTAAAAATAAGTGTGAATGCAACTACCCCCAGTGTCATAAATCCCTCAAAAGACACTAAACACATTCAACAGCCCACAGTGATTGATACTTAATAGTAATGAGTGTACAACCTCCTGATCGTTCTGTAAAACAATATAAAAACTATCATAGCATAATTCTGTAATATAACAGAACAGATTAATAATAGAGGTAATGGGTCACTCAAATTTTCCAGAGCCTTATCATGCATGCTTTGGCTATGAAGGCAGTTGAATAATATAGCTATTCAGGCTATAGGCTCCACTCCTCGGACCACTCCCTTCTCAGGTGTCCCACAAGAAAGGAGATATCCAGTAAGGTGAAAATTAAGAAATTTTACTTCAGTATAAAAACAAACATAAAAACACAGCTAAATTAGCAGAAAATAGATATGGATTTGAGTCCACGATAGCACAACACGTTTCAACTTATTCGGTCTTCCTCAAGGTGCATAATACAGTTATCCCGGCAATGCTTCTTTTGTGTGTTTCCGGAAATTGAATTTTGCGCCAATAGGCGCTCCGTGATGACTTCTGCGTTCTTCCATCTCAGTCACCTCTCACCTCACGCGTGTATAACTGCTGTGAGAGCTGTATTATGCACCTTGAGGAAGACCGAATAGGTTGAAACGCGTTGTGCTATTGAATAGCTATATTATTCAACTGCCTACATAGCCAGAGCCTGCTTGATAAGGCTCTGGAAAGTGTGAGTGACCCATTACCTCTATTATTAATCGGTTATGTTATATTACAGTATTATGCTATGATAGTTTTTATATTGTTTTACAGAACGATCAGGAGGTTCTACACGCACTACTATTAAGTATCAGTCACTGTGTGCTGTTGAATGTTTTTGCACCCCCCACATATTTTGCTTTTTCATAGATACACTGTATTGAGGTTTATTCTCTAAACACAGAATTGCAGTGAATTATAAATTGAATTACAAAAACTAGTTCTCTTCAATTCTGTGCTTAGCGAATTATTGCGATGATTTGTGATGTAATGATCTGTTTTAGGAACAGACAACGGATAAGGAATGTGTTAAAATCCCAAATGGTCTTTTCCTAATCACAGTCCGTCACTTGCGAGTAAGCTTTTCCAAGAAGGGGCGATTAAAGGTATCCTAAAGTATCCACTTAGACTTAATGTACACTGGCACCCTCTCAGTGTACGCAGCCATTTTATTGTGCCTCTTCTGATGCACTGCAGGTCCCAAGGAGTGAGCAACTGGCACCTGGAGGACCTCAGGTAAGTTGTCAAACAGTTCTTACACAGTCAGACTACTTACACGCAGAGGGAGCAAAGGCACTCCTGGTACCATAACCACTACAGCAAGCTGTGATTGGTATTGCTATTGGAGCACTCCTTTAAGAATAACACATAGTAAAATATTTTTTTGTATTCCCCTATTCCTATATTCATCCTTCAGACACCAGTGGGCACTCTGGCATAGATTTAGTAACCCACCCATTTTCTTGCATTCCAACACTCCTTTAGACACTCGAGTATGTTTAATATGTGCTCTGCTCTTGTGGGTTTAGCAATGTCATAAATAAACAGATCACCTTGGTACATGTAATTCCCCAATTATATGCACTCCTTAGAGACAATAAAGTGTAACACTGTACTTTGTTTAACAGCTTTAATTGTTATCACCTCATAAATCTTGTAGAAGAGGAAGTCTCTGCTAGTTTAACTTCCTATATATATTTTCCCTGGGATATAACATGAAATCACTTTCAAAATATTCTGCCAAGTCTCACTTCCCGTTTTCTGCATTTCTTGGTACCGAGGCATTGTGTATTTTGTTTACTTCATAACCAACATCTCAAGTCTGAAATACTTTTTTTTTTTTTTTTGTGCATACATATTTTAAACTGTGTACTTTGGCCAACATTCTAGAATGTGCAATTACA